AGGACATGCCCATTCGACAGAAAACATTTATACCAATAGTTTGAGCCCGGATGAAGTACCCGCAGAAGTTAACTCGACAGATTATGCAGCCAAATATAGACAGTACTTTTAAATTCGTTTTACATCGTCGTAGAGTTATTAAAAAGCAGCCATTGGAAAAATGTTTTGATTTAGATTGATACACTTACAGGATTCATGCTTCATCCAATGTTTTCTTGAATTGTCTGGAAATTGGGACTACTTCTGGTTTTCACCGATCGTTCTTGTGGAACTCGCTCGTCCCGTTGTGCCTTGCAGGCTCCCTCTCAAGCTCAACCAGCAGCCGCACAGCGGCGCATGATCTGTAGGCAGAATGCTATGACCGACAAAGACAAGGGGACTGGAATGACCATTTCGGGCTCATTAGCCGTTGTCAGCCAGTCATACCCAACGCCGAGGTGCGGAACACCTGGGGCTCGAACTCGCGACATGCAAGTTAGAAGTCCAATGCTCGAGAGAGAGCCCGTAAGGCACAACGGAACGAGCGAGTTCCGTAAAAACGATCGGTGAGCGCCCCTACCACTGTATATTCCCGATCGCAACCGACAAGACAACGAGCCCGTGACTCAGTGGTTAGGGGGCGTTGGACTTCTAATCAACAGGTCGCGGGATCCAGCCCCAAGTGCTTCGTACTTCGGAGTTGGGTGTGGCTGGCTGATGACGGCTAACAAGCCAGAAGTGACCATTCCAGTCTCTCTTCTTTTTGCCGCAGCATTAGTGAAAATGGGTAGCTTTTGACGGTTTCAAGGGCGTAAAAACACCCTGCAACAGAGCTACTCAAGGACGTTAAAGTTCGTTTATATAATGCACAGCGCGCCAGTATAGTTCTTTAAAAGAGCACTCGCTGTACGGAGGGCTCTGTTGTACCAGTTTCAATTCTTTTGAAGTGTATTAATTTTAAAAACGGCTTGTCGCACTTTACGCTGTCTGTGTCAGCGGGTAATCTTAAATAACTACAAATCCCATGGTATGTTGTGTCATCCTTAGATCTCTAGGCAAATCCCGAACGGTGTCTTCAGATTTTATGTGGAACTTTATTTTACAGGCAGGTGATAACGCAATCCGTCTAGCTCAAGGCACCGATGACAGAGTAATGTGGTATTTCTTCTGTAATCGATCGTCTTAAGCGCATAACTGAAATCGTTAAGAACTTTGTGGAGAAGGAGCGCGAGCGAGAGCAAGACAGCCTAAAGCGGAATTCTCCGACTCAACCAGGGAGCAAACCATGAAGATTCACAGCAGGAACGCACCGAGACGAGAAATGATACTCCAGGCGTATAACTTTTTGACTTCACTTGCTTTCTTCCTGTTTTCACTGATGATTATTTACGCTCTCAAACACGTACGTTTTCTCCTGACTGGTAGACAGATAGCAGTCATGAGGCATCAGTGAATAGCTGTTCATTTACGGAGACAAAAGGAGGATATGCACCCTGGCCTTTTGAAAGTTTGACCGTCCCGAAGAATGATGACCATCTTGTGTTCTGCAGCATTGCAGGCTCCGAGATGTCGACTTGCATGTGGATTAATTTATAGCGATAGGAGACTTGCACAGCGTATCCCACACTCTCGCACGCCTGGTTCAGGTTGAGAGGCCTAGGTTTTCACACAAACAAGAGAAGAGACGACCCGAGTCCCAACTGAGCGAGAATGCCATAGAGTCCACATTCAGAAGGAACAATCGCAACTTGATTCTGTACTCTACGAGGAATACCAGGGGTATCCCGTCAGTTGGAAGCCTTCCAAGCTACGGCTGTTAGTTCACCGTGACAGATTAAAAGCACTTTAGATTATTTATAGTGAAGAATTTACGCCCAGTGCCTTAGGGAGAGGTGGCACCGAATTCGATCTCGCTCCCTTCGCTCTCACAGGCACCAGTCCACTGTCCAGGCCGGTTAGTCGGGATTGAGAGCAAGTGTCTGACGACCCTTCTGCGCGTGCCACACACGACCTGGTCTTCCGCACGACACAACAGGTTCTTACACGGTGGTGGGTGGGCGGCGCATCCCCTAGGCGCGAGAGTTCCCTCAGAGGCCATAGTAATGGGCCCCTTAGGTTGAATCAGTCCTCAGGTCAACCACTCCTCACAAACACAGGGGGTCTGATGTGCACTGTCAGGTGAAAATCTTTCAACCCACGACGGTTAGTGCGTCGTCACGGACTCAAGCCTGTCAGATTCACAATAGTGAGGACTGCACTGAAATGCCGTGGGAATGGATTCCGCAAAATCGACCTCACTCTCCCTTCCCTCGTCTACTGTTTTCGATGTGGCTTCGTGGCGCCCATTAACAATTTATAATCATTTGGCAATAATAATCTTGATTGAGGCAAGGATTTTTAAACAGTGGACTCCAAATATTCGGATATACTAGGCGGGATGAGGTAGTGTGTGCCGCTGCAGAAGAACGTGGTCTGAGAGGCAGGTGAAGAGATGGTGTCCAGGCTGCCGGAAGTGAGATACTCCCAGGATCAAACTATACTCTCCGACACGTTATACATCAAGATTACCGTAGTGAAGTTGTGGGACGAAACGGCAGTCTGAGAGCAACTAGCGACTCGATGATTTCAGGAAACAGATCCACCCCTTGTAGAAAATACCTCGCCACCTACTATTAGATCACTTATAACCTACAACTTAGGGTGAACTCTTGCGGAATTACTTACTTCTACTTGAGCAATTAGGACTAATACCGTTCAAAACCACAGCATGGATGAAAACTAATATTCATTCTTTTAAAGACATACGGCCGTTAATCTGGACGAAGAATTTGAAAATGCCAGGCATCCGCATTCTAAAGCAGCAGCATTGGCGGTTGGGTGATAGCCAGCCGGCGGGACCTTATGCCTGAGCTTCATCTAGACCCATAAGGTTTAAAATTGTCGAGTGGCTTGGTCTTTTGATACCTCCAAGGCGGCTGATGCTCACAGTAAGAGTACGTCCATCGAACTCTTTCGAACTGGAGCTTCCGGTTCTATTTCAGTCAAGAATTGGCAGTTACCAATTCAAGTCTGGAGGCCACAAAACGTCTATACTCGCAAGGTCTTGATGGTCAGAAACGTCCTGGGCTCCCGTTTGGTCCAGTAACTTAGCGTTAGGCATAGCACCCGAAGCCAGATTGAGCTTGAAATCAACCAGCCATCGCTCAAACGACCGCTAACGCACGTTCTCTCAGAATTAAATACTATGCCCTGTGGCGATCTGGAATACAAGCGAGGATAATTGTTGTGTGTAGCCTTCCGCCTTAAAGCGCGAACTAATTTTTCTCAGTTCGACGTCTCAAAATCAACGGCGGGGAGGGGTTCGACGCTGATTTCACTTACCAAGTACGCCCGAATGACCGGTAGATCTGAGACGTAAGCAGGCGACGGGGTTAGAATCCGATTGCTAAACCCATAATTCAGAGTTAAAACAAATCAGGGAGATTGATGTCTCAGGACCAAAGAGTGCCGAAGACACATTCTCCACCGCCATGTACATATTCAGGGCGAGATACAGAGTCCGGCATGGAATTATTTCTTGCTATGTAATAAAGGAAAGTCAGCGAATACCACCCCCACATGAATGAGACGGACTAGGCACAAGCATCTTTAGCGCATGGGCTCTTAGGTTCCATTCATAGAGCATACAATGGACAGTCATTATCCATTCAAAAAAGACCGGCTGGGGCGCTCAAAATGTATCTTGGTGACGGTGAGTCGGACGCCGCGATCGCACGCACACAACAGCGAGGCGAGAGTAACATTTCATTGATATGCAATGAAAGGATACACGTACAGTTTCGCAGTTCCGGACTAGGAGTTTGGATGAAGTTACACTTCAGAAGCAGAAGGACCTTACTTAATGGTAACTGGTAATAGCCATATCAGCACCGGACAGCTGATAGAGCAATTAACTCGACCGACTTCACCCGTCAGCATCCCGTTGGTACCGCCCTACTTTGTTGAGGAAGTATCAGTCAGGTACGAAACACGACGACTGCGGATCCGCTAAATTACAAACCGATTCATAAGACCCACAAATAGACACCTGGGAAGTCGTGTACTGCAATAGCCCAGCTCCAAGCATCAACGCACGGCATGCGGAGCGAGTATCCCTATTAAGTTTTTAACCGTGTACATCGTGAAAAACGACTACAGAAATGCTGGCATATTGTATTAAGAAAAAAATTGGCGGCAAAAGTGCCGGACAACTTCGCCAAATGACTGCATCTACACAAGCATGACAGTGAACAGCGAGGGTCAACATTACTAAAACAACTTCATGAAACCAACAACTTGTAAAGATCCATCACCAGTGCCAAGTGGTATTTCAGTAACAAAATTGGAAAGCGGTTTAGTGAATTAGACGGTTTAATCGTCTAATTCAATATTAAATTCCTTCTCCACGGGCAGTGAACCACAGTCTGTAATTGTAACGTCCTTCTTCGGCCTGTCATTAGAATTTGTTTCGGTACTTCCAACTGTCTTAACAACGTCCTAAAAGACAAATAATTTTATGGACAAACAAGTACCATTCCTTCCAGGACTTTACCAAAGACCACATGCTTTCCATCAAGCCAACTTGTCTTAACCAAGGTGATAAAGAACTGAGCCCCATTCGTGTTAGGACCTATGAACGACGTTAGATAAACGGTCTGGCACTCACCAGCATTGGCCATAGAAAGCCATCCGGCTCCGTAATGCCGAAGTTTGAAGTTTTCGTCATTGAATCTTTCACCATATATGCTCTTACCTTCAAGGGGCACATTACAAAACGGATGCCTAACCTCCAGTTCCGTCCCTGTTAGTAAAATCGCCCCCTTGGATCATAAAGTCCTTTATGACACGATGGAATATGCTGTTCTTGTACGTTAAGAGTTCATCACCGACCTGAGGAGAGATATGACAGGGCGGTTAAGGCAAACCTTAAATCCTTCCGAAATTTTCTTGAAATTTTCTACAGTTCTGGGTACAGTTTTGCCAAAGAGGCCGATGACGATACGCCCAATTGGTTTGTCCCCGATAGAAATATCAAAGTAGACTTTGTCTGTCACAAGAGGGCCCTTCGAGCACTCGCATAGTGCTGCAGACAGCAACACGAAGAGGGAGATCCACCGAAGTTGCATAGTAGCACCTTATTGCAATCAACGAATGAATTTCAGCATAGTAAAACTTTTAGCCAAATACCTCGATACAAAAACGAAAAGTTTGTAATAAATGAGCCGTCACAAATGTCCTATTGCTTGTCTGTGGGAATTCTCATTGCTACGAAATGCAATATAAAACTAACGTACTCAGAATAAATCTGGTTATTTGTGTCGTCGCCACAGACAAGATACTGGAGGATAATTTTTACGATTTAAAGGAATGGGTAACAGAGTCCATATCCAACTACAAAAGACCTGAATACAACAGTAAATCAGCCAGTTATGATAAGACCTATAGAGGCTATCAGGTAGCAGGGTTTGTAAATGCCCTGTGATATCTCGGGTAGAATTTTGCAGACTAAAAAACCAAACCAGGCCCTCCAGATCTCTAGATGAGCCTTTATAAGAGTAGTTTAACCCACTGTTGTTTGTGGCGGGGCCATCTGCGACTGCTCAAGGCAGTGCAGCAGTGATGTTAAGACTTCAACCTCCGGAGAAATTTGGAACCTAAAAGTGGCGATTTCTTTGAACTGGCGACGATTCCATCGTACTGGTGCGAACGACCAATCTTCGAAGCCACCAAAACAAACTAAAAATAAAGTATGCCAAACTTTAAGTGCGGAGGAAATGCTTCTCTCACCGGCTGGTTTAAGGTTGGAATGATTTGCCAAACTGCGTTGCCTTGTCGGAAAACTTTGAGACCTTCAAAAAACACTTGATAACTTAATTGTTGACGGTCAAATATTTACTCCACAACAATGACTGGCATAACTGTTATGTGAATCTGTGCATGCTTTTCATCGGTCTGTCTGTAAATAGGGTTTTCCAAGGTCCTTCCTATATTCCTTATATAGACGGAATTTTACTGAATTATAAGTGGGAAAAGTGGTATGAGGTTAATTGTCTTAACCGGACTTAGTGATAACTCATATAAATGGGATAGGAGATGACAAATTGCATGATTAACCAATTTCAAAGAATCGACGAAAGCACATGGTCACTCACAGACAGAAATCAATTGAAGCTCAGCTTTATAATTCAGAGCAGAGAATTATTTTGGGCTGCCGTCGTCAGGAAGTAAAGCCAAAACTACACTACCTTTGAGTGAGCAATTCTTGGCTGTAAAACTTTCACAGTTTTGACTGCTTGCTGATTCAATGCGTCCTCTTAGCAATCTGCATGTAATATTCGGCAACTTTTGATGAAAACAATGAATTTGAGGAAAGTAGTGGTCGACCAACAAACTCCTGAGCTATATTCTCAGGAGTAGAAAAATAGCGAATTCATAAGGTTTCTGTGGCAGGAGGTCAGTCAGTGTATTTGAGGGCAATAGGCTTACGCCTATGAACGCCCTATTTGTGCATAAAAAATCAATTAATAAGCAAAAATGTAAAGAAATTACAGCATTAAGTGAATGCAGACATTGTTTCACCTATGTCACTGGTCTCATGGCTAAAAAGTCACATAGTCCGCTTGTTGCTGTAGCATATGTCTGTCAAGATGAGACTTAAATGGCTCCGCAGATTGAGACATGACAATCGTCTCGGCACGTTATTCTATGGTTCCACGACATGGTTAGATAAGAAGTATTTTGTCGCATTCAATCTAACCTGGTGCACACATAGCTTGAAGGGATGTCCCCGGAGATTATTTGTAGTGGCGATTTGGAAAAAAGTTATCTCATCGAAGGACGCAGTCCAAGCCACGAACGATACGGAAAGTTTGTGTCAATTCTACGCGAAACTGCCCATCACTCGGAGGATAGAGATTGAGGGTAGTTAAGCGTATCTCGAAAGGCAGTGCATCTTGATCTCTTTTTAATTTTGCTACTCACCTCTACACCGTTTCGAGCAGATTGTAATCCTGATGCGTCCACTGTCCCCAGGCCTGAATTGCGTATTCGAGATGCGGTCTTACAAACTTGCCGAAGACTTTGGAGAAGCAGTCTTCATCGAAAACTCTGAATGCACACTTGATGACATACAGCAGTGAAGTTGAGGCCTTTACCGCCTGATAACATTGTGTAGAAGGCTTTAGGCTGTCCGCAACCCAAACTCCGAGATCTTTCTGTGTTTCTGCTTCTCGGAGTGGCATTCCGTTTAGATGGTACTGCCGCGTACTAGGGGTCTAATTTCCGAGGCGCACTAAGGTACATTTGTTCAAATTGAAGAACAAGGGCCATCTGCGGGACTACTCTTAAAGTGGAAGTTGGTCCCATCGGCAGCATTCTGGATGACTTTCCAGATTTAATGTCATCCGTAAGCATGGCACTATCACAGTCCGACCCATCTACATAATCATTGATGAACAAGAGAAAGAGGGTTGGTTCAAGCACCGAGCCTTGTAGGAATTCACTTTTTATGAATGTGTGCCCTGATTGCTGTTGTTCTATGCAGACAATTTAGGAACGGCCTGCGAGGAAATTCTCGATCCATTTGAGAATTTTGCCGCCGATGCTGAGGAATGTCATCTTGTACAGGAGACGCTGGTGCGGAACACTGTCGAAAGCTTTCCGAAAACCAATATAGGCCACATGCACAGTGTGTTTTGCGTCCAGTGTTCTTGTCCAACTTTGCATTGTATATAGCAAGTTCGTTACACATTATCTTCCCCTACGGAAACCGTATTGTGTATTGGACAAGAGGTTGTGGGTTTCCAAACAAGCCATCAACTCCTTTTTATGGTTTTCTCCATTACTTTGCAGCAGATGTCAGACTGATGAGTCTGTAGTTTGTCGCAAGAGCACGACTACTGTTTTTGTAAAGGGGTGTATTATGGGCCGTCTTCCAGACTGAGAAAGGACACCTGAATCAAACGGTTTCTGACACAGAAAGGATAGTGGTACTGGCCAGCTGTCGAGCAAGTTCAAAGAGCCGCTTTGCTGGGATCTCGTCCGGGCTGCGAGATTTACTTTACTTCAAGCTTTTTAGTTCTTCCAAAATCGTTTCTTCTCGAAACACGATAACTTCGATAGTGGGATCTCATATTTTCTCAGAACTAGATGGAATAAAGTCTGCTTTTCTTGTGAGAACGGATTGGAAAATCGACAGGAAAACACCATGCGCTGTAGTTGAGTTGGTCGTTCGAACCTGATTTGCTTGCCAAAATACCCACACAAGATTACCCGTCAGAACCCTTCACCAGATTTTTTCTGTCGATAATACCAGCTAAAACACTTCGCACACATCTTCCGGAAGATGAACGCGGCTCTGAGACTTGCATTTTTATATTTAATACCTTCTTAGACTTCTCCTCTCAACTCATTTTCAAGTCCTTTACGATCCGTTTAGTGATATCAAAGAATAACTATGATCTCAAATTACTAAGGGAAAATACAACTGCCTTGATCTCTCCAAAACTGTAACTGATTGGAGGAAATATGCCATCTATCAGTATCACCATTGTAGGGTTCATAATAGTGCAAAAGATATAACTTAGAGTACTTGTGGTAGGTCGTGGGGAAACCATCGATAACATTGTCGTATAAAATGGAAACCTGAACTCCGTAAGTTCCTGAATGTAATGAGTATCCTTCATAGCAGTCTCGACAGGCACGATGTTTATAGTCGTCATTCCTAGTCTTAGAAACCTCTCTGATATAGTTAACTGAAGACAGTGTTATAAGTGCTTTCTATCCAATAGTCTGTAGACTAAAGCAAATAGCTTAATTTGGAGTTTTCCGATGAGACTTTTATTTTATGTACAATATTTAAGTCGTCTTAAATGGCCTAGCACGCATTATTGCCTCTGCATTTCTACATGAAATATGTTGGTGGTGGATTTATTCTTTCTCCGTGTTCTTATGTACATTTAGTTTTTTGAATTTCCTGCCACGACTACCACACCGTTTCGGTAGTTTCACCCTGCTTCGTAGATATACGAGCAGCCGCGCTTGTTCATCGTCACCGTTTTGTCTGGCGCTTCACTTTACATATTTACGTTAAGTCCCCCATAGCCTAGGTAGGATATAGCCCTCGGCCAGCTGTTCCGCCACTATCTGGCTTCGGTGTGAGTACTTAAACTCCTTATTTTTCGTGTACGATTTCTATGTGCCTGTGAGAAAGCGTTAATCCCCTGAAATTGAGATCCTTTTAAGTTCTGTAACTCAAAAGTGAACGTTT